AACAAACAACTCTACTCAAATACTACACAGGAGAGAACTAACAAACAACTCTACTCACATACTACACAGGAGGGAATCAACAAAGCTTCTTTTTGTGCTTTTTTTTTTTTTTTTTTTTTTTTAATGAAATCCTCCACCCCCTCCCTGGGAAAGGACAAATGGTTTTTAATTTTTGCTCAATTTTTTTGAGTGTATTATAAACAAAAAAATGCACAATCTTCTTTACATTTTGGAATTTATAAATACTCATGATGTTTTAAATGTTCTCAAATTGAACTCACCTAAAGGATCATCCAATTTTGAAAACTTTCAAAACATCACTCATACCTATAAATTCCGAATTGTACTTGAGATTGTGTGATTGTGTGATACATTAAAGTAAATCTTTAAAAGACAAAACATATTTAAAAACCAAAATGCAGATTGTGCAACTGAATAGTAAATCCCTCTTTTACCTCTTACAATTGTTATGTTAATTAGTTTGAAATTCAAATGTTGCTGCAGACCCTTGCTAAAGTGGCCAAATATATGCTTGCCTTGTCTATGAATACAGTATAAGCACACAGGAAGTGCCGTCATTCATTTTATTTCATGGGTTTGTTTAACAGGAGATACGTGTGGCTCACACTGTAACCATTTTGGTAGAAATGGCTTCTGGTATGATGAGCAGGTTTGACGAGCACTTTAATGAGTTGGTGAGTCCAGTACAAGGTTATCAGGTTGGATCATTTAAATAATGGAATAATTTTATCCTACATTGCTTGCTTACTTTTCTTTTTTCATAGAATCCAGATACTGCATTTGCTCTTGGTGTAGCACAACAGTTTACTGGAGTAGATTATTTCCAGGTAAATAAGCTAAGATTTAGCAAGCATACCACAAATGAACGCCAATTACCTTGCCCCACCCAACACCCATGTCACACCCAACACCCATGTCATGCCCAACACCCATGTCACACCCAACACCTACGTCACACCCAACACCCATGTCACACCAAACACCCATGTCACACCCAACAACTACGTCACACCCATGTCATGCCCAACACCCATGTCACACACAACACCCATGTCATGCCCAACACCCATGTCACACCCAACACCTACGTCACACCCAACACCCATGTCACACCCAACACC